GAAAATGTGGCTTTTTGAATACTAGGTGAACAAACACGCTGATCCAGCTGATAAACTGCCAGTTGATGTCACACTGTTCCATAATCTATTTGTTTCAGACAAAGTCAGTTACTGTACCTGCTCAAATGTTGCATAATTTTTAATGAACCATATTTAGTATTGCATTTGCAGCACGATAATTAACGTTCTTTAAGTATTCGAGTATGTCAAGCGATCGTTTGATTCTTTTAAAACAATTCGGATTTAAAACAGTTCAGTCATCGCGTTATAAATCATGCTAAGGTCTCAGTACTAGCTCCACTAGTGGTATGAGATAAGGGTGTAGCAATGGATTGAAAATTGTTTTAACTGACCGAGCATGGTAGAAATGTAGACTTTGTAACCGTTAGGACATCGATCTCCCTCACACTTTAATGATTAGGGGCAACCATGGCCTCCTTTTCTTCATGAAGTTCATGGCGCGGCGCTGATTTCATTTTTTTATGTCATCATTTAAGAATCTCTTGTTTTCAGTACTGAGTCAAAAGGCCGAGCTACGTGGCAAGAGCTGTAGAGTCTCGTCTCCGGTTTCGTTCCCACAGATTTTAACCTCTTGTTCTACTTTAAAAGAACTAAAAGGAAGTCATTAATCCGGGGCTCATACCCGCGACCTCTAATGTTCCACTTTTACCGACTGGGCAACCCCAATCTTGGATATTACTTGCACAATTGCAGTACGTCGAAAGACATGTCATGCCGAAGATTGTCATAATCCAAGCGAGAAAGGATAGGTGCACCTTTTGGATTCCTTGCGTTGCCAATGTCAATGCAGTTCCTCTGCAGAATCTACAGTTTTATTTTTCAGTTTGTTGTAGCCATCCGGTCTCAGCGACCAATCGACTATAGCATTCCACGTTTCTTTTCTATCGTCAGTCGTCAGTCGTTTGTCCTTCGAATGGTATGGTGCCTCTGCTTTAGCCCTGCTTGGATCTGCATCATGCTGATCACTGCATACTAAAATTTGCGGCACACTTCCTGGTAATCACCCATTTCCGGCTAAGAGCACAGGGTCATACTATTTTGCCTCGACCACGTTCATTGTGAAGCTGGTGAATGTCAATAATTCATTTTTAGAATGTCTTCATCGCTGTTATAACAGAAACGTTTGCTGAAATCCGAGTTCAATTTTCGCAGATGTGGGGTAACCGAGAGGTCCTGACCGAAGCAGAGATCACCCAAGTACGTTCTTTGATTTATTGATATGATTTTATGAATCTCTTTTGCAGCCTGCAGCTGTTTAGGTGCTTGAAAAGGGTGCAGACGGGTGGAAATTCATCGCCATGAACGCAAGCAAGACGAAAGGATGGGCTCCAAAAATCTGCCAAAACTTCTACTCCAGCAACATCTTCCAAATCATAATTATGGTACTTGTGCTGTCGAACGCCCTAATCAATGCGAGCTTTATTCACAGACACGACGGCTCAGATGTCAAAAGAAGCGAAATTTACTATTATATCGAGGTACGCATGAAAATGCACTTTGCACTGAGACTAAACTATGAGTACGGGATAGTTACTGATAGATCGCACAAACTACGAGTACGGGATAGTAACTGCCGAAACGTCCATTTGTTTCAGGGCTTTAGCGGCACAGTAGCACTGAATTTTTGCTTCTAGAGGCGCGAAAGGCCATTGGAGTCTTAAAGGTTTAGTAATATTGAAGCACCTGTAATGTAAGGATATAAAGCTGTTTACCTCTGTTGGTTCTTTAGCTTGATTTTTCATGGTTATTGATATGCTTTCGATACATGAGCCAGATGCTAATGCTTAATACAACGCGTTTTTTACAGCGCAACTGTCAACAGATGAACAATAAAAAGTTCAGCATTTATGGTTGAACTGATTATTAATGGATTGTGCCGTGAAGAAGTCTTAGCATTTAGCCTTAACATTGTTCTTGGGTCTCATACCATGCATCGAACGAAAGGATCAGAAGAAAATTACTTTTAAACTTTCGAAACTGCTGTACTGATTCCTTATCGTATCAATAAAGATGTAAAGGAGAAAAAAGGAAGAATTTGTCCTAAGATTCTTGAACTGCCGTTTATGCATCTATGGTTTCAGTCGTCGAAATGATACGCTAAAGTTGAACTAACGCTCTATGCTTTACAGTGCAGTTTCACGTTGGCGTTCGACCTGGAGTGTCTATTCAAAATTTGGTGTCTGGGGTGGATTGGCTACATCAGGCGTGGACTGCACAAGTTTGAGTTCATTCTGTGCCTTGGAAGCACCCTCAGTATCATCAAGCCCTTGCACGACATGAAAGTCTTCACCTATTTTCAGGTACCTAACTCACGACCTCATCTTTGTCACGTGCCTTCCGCTGTTTCAGGTTTGCCGCGTCGTTCGTCTGATCAAAGCAT